GTCTATAAATGCCCTGTGTGTGGGTGCCTGACTCTTGACTCCCGAAACAAGTGCTCTATTCCCAACTTAGTAACAGCCTGAGATCTCCCACTGGCCAGAGGAGACACTACAAGGACACATTGAAGGCATCGCTCAAGAAAGCAGATGTTGACATCAAGAGGTGAGAGGAGCTGGCTGCCAACCGACCCCAATGGTGCCAAAACCTCACCCAAGTGCAGCCCATTTTGAGGCAAAGCGTCTTGTCCTCAAAGCAGAGAAGAGAGAGCAGAGGAAGGAAAAGGAGAAGAATCCCCCCTGCAGCCTGCTCTGCCCTACAGAGACCTACACCGTCTGCGAACGATCCTTGTACTCTTAAGTCACTTAAACACCCGTGACCCATGACAATGAGCCATGGTAGAGATCAGCCTTGAATTGAGGGATTGCTGATGAAAACACATTTTCTCTCTCAAGCAGTGGGAAAGCAAGGGGTAGGAGAGTGATGGTGGGGGCATCGGTGGGGAGAGGGGCCCAGGATGACACTATTCTTTGCCACCCCCTGGCCAGGAAGATTGGGGTGAGCTGTGCTGCAGCAAGAGGAGAGGTGCTTCTCAGATCCTGCTTTTCCAAGACAAGCTCCCCAGTGACTCAGGCATTCAGGAACAGAGGAAGGAAAGAATTAAATGCCTCGAGTCTGCAGACATGAGCCTATGTCTTGTCCACGATTCCCTGAGTGTTTTCCTTCACTTGGTGGGATGGCACACATGCAGGACGCACCAGAGCGGTGGGCCCCTTCCCAACGTGACAAGCAGAAAGACATGCCTAAGGCACATGCTCTGGGCTTCCTTAAAGGGCACTTGGTTAAGAGATCACTATTTCCACTTCCCATAGCGAAGCTCATGCTCACCGCAGGGCAGAGGTAAGTGGCTTCCCAGAGAGGAGGAGCAAGGGGCACATGTCCATTAGAAATACAGTCCACAAGATGCACTGAACTGCTGGTGCAGCTTTCTTGTGCCCCAAGGATGGAGGTCCCCGTGCCACGTGCATCATCAGCCAATCCACGGCGCAGCCCTTACGTTCCTACCATCTGCAGGGAACTGCCTGCACCTGCACGAGACATGGCATCGCCTCCGTTGCTTTGTGGGTAGCCCTAGAAACAAGCAGGGATCTTGCTGGCAGGCTATCATGATTGCAGTCCTGTCCTGTTTGGACCCGTTGGTGCCTCTGGCTGCTGGCAAGGTCACTGGGTGAGACCCGACCCTCTGCTCGGTGTTTTGATCAGTGTATCCTTGTCTTCGTGGGGCTCAGAGCAAAGCACTTGATAGCAGGCTTACAGGGCCCTTGACACCAGACAGATCTGTCTGGTGCCAGCGCCGTGCTCAGCACATACAGTCGTGAATCCAGTGAAGACACAGGCAGTTTCTCATATTAGCGTACATAACATTTCACAGTTGCCCAGGCTTTGCAGAGCAGTGCTGAGTGGAGAGCTGGGTGGACAGGCTGGTGACCTGCCTTCCCTGGCTTGCTCAGGGAAGGGTGATGCTGTTGGGGGCTGGAGCCTTAGACCTGGAATCAGGGTGAAGTTACACATCACATTTAGACCATACTAAGGTCTTAAAATGCAAGTGTCCGCATGTTAAAGCTCGCTAAATCCTGCTAAGTGCACTCTGAGCATCTAAAATGATGCCACTTCAGGTAGGGATTAGCTCTGGGCCGTGCTGCCCACAGTACTTCAGTCTGCTTCATGAAGTGACCAATATGCAGCCCTCCAGTATCCCAGGATGCATTGCTTTCAGCCCGCCTCCCCACAAGCTAGGTGGCTGGGATAGAGCCCAGGTGTCCTGGCTTTAGCCATTCCCCTGCTTGCCAGCCCTGTAGTGGCAAGTCAAAGCAGGCAAGAAGTGGTATTAACCCTTAATATGTGCCTGCTCACAGCACTTTCTAACTTTAACACTGCTTAAAATTGCACAGACTTCATCTGGTCAAAGTGTAACGTGTAACTTCACCCGCCGAGAAGTGTCCTGTAGTTGCCCCAGCAGACAGAGGCAAGTGCCGAGTGACAGAGGAGGCATCACTAAGGTACTGCCGGGACATGCCCTGAAACTCCAAGCCCATTACCTGCCATGGGGTCGGCTGATGAAGAAGACCCAGTGCCCTGGTTAACAGGTTGCAGAGCCTCCTGCTCACTTCTCCAGCCCCTCCACAAACCCCAGCCTCCCTCTGCATCCTCCTGCTTTGAGCAAAGCCACCTAGACCCCAGAGAGTTTCCTGAGCTGCATCCAGGCCCCACAACACGAGGAGGTAGGGAAGGCTGCAGCCAGCCAACTTCGAAGGACTTAACGCCTATTCTGGTAGAGAAGGGGGAGCCCTGAGCCAGCTGAGCAAACAGGAGTCAACCTTGAGGCTTGCCATGGCTATCACAAGCCTTAGAAGGCCAGGAGAAGGATGTACTGTACTGCTTCACCAAGAGCATCTGCTCCCAGATCCCTCCATGTGACTCCTTTGGAAAGCTTATGGGAGGGGCAGGAGTGTATTTGGAGTGGGGTGTTCCCAAAAGCTTGGGCAGGAAAGTGAAGGTTCACACACGCGGCTTGGGTTGGGTTGAATTCGCTCAGAGATAGGTGCACTGGCTCTTGAAGTAATGGAAGGACTCTTGTTGACACCAGCAGCTGTTGGATCAGGCCCCAAGGCCTGGGCAGAGCTTCCCAAGGCATAAGCCCCAGTGTCCTGGCAGAGGGATGTATATCACAAAGGTGGAGCTGCTACCAAAGCTAACAGCCCCCCTGTGCTGATGCTGTAGAACTGGACGGAGGAGGCAGACCAGGGAGGTTGGTCCCTCTCGCCCTCTTGGTCTTCAGCGTGTTCAGTCCCCTGGCAGCAGCCTCAGAGCTTGCAAGGTGGGTCTAGGCTCAGGGTCACCGTTGTCCCTGCTGCAGATGGGGATGAGGAGCAGGGCTTGACTGACTCTGGAGTGGGACTTCTAGCTCTTCAGGTGAGGAGAACGCAGGGCTCGGGGGGACCTCCTGGACCACCGAGTCCTGCTCCCCCTGCCAATGCTGCTACCATTTACACTCCTGTCCTTAAACTGATAGCACTTCAAGTAGACTGGAGCAAAGGAGAGAAATGTGGGAATGGGGTTATTCATCTTCCATGCATGCTTTACACAAAGAAAACTTCCTTGTAAAATACTCCATGTATGCTAGCAGTCTCCAGGTAGGATCCAACACTTTTCTTCTAACAGAGATGTATCATGCAGGAGAGGCTGCAGAGACAAAGGCTTTATTTCCCAGATGTGGTGGCTATGTCCAGAGGTCCAAATATCCTGTTGGAGGGAGTCATCAGAATAATAGCTATTATGGATTGGGTGGTAATACCCCTTTGGATCTGCTGGTTTGTCTATTGAATGCCCTGGTCAAGGGAGTTTGCTTTGTGCAAGGGGACTGGACCCGATGATCTTCCAAGGTCCCTTCCAGCCTTACAATCTAGGAATCTATGAAAAGCTGGTACACGTCTTGTTTCAGCTGCCCGATTATGTGTGGCTCAAACGTGTGAAGGAACACACGCACATATCGACTGACAATGTAGTCTGCTAAAATATGGGCGATCCCAATGATGGGGAAATGGTCCCATCAGGTTAGCTTATTAGAAAAGAGACCAAACAGGGATAGATATTGAGAAATATGAATTCCTTTCCTGGCTTACACAGAAGACAAAAATTCACCAGCTTGTCAGCCAGAGTCTTTAGCCACATTTCTTTGCATATTCATGAATTTTCCTGAATGTTATATATATATATATATATATATGTATATATATATATAATTATATATAAATATATACAATTACATTGAAAGTGCGGATGATGAGTTGTTTGAATTGTTGTATATTATTTCCTTTGTAAAGATATAACAACTTCAACCTCCTGCAATTCCTGTGTATTACTCCTGTGTTGGAGTTTTGTTTCAGTGGTTGCCTGAATAAAAAAAAGAAATTATTAAAACAAACTCATGGAGCTCCAAGAGAGTTTTGTTTTACCTTAAGGTCACTGAGCTCTTCCTCTTGCTCCCTCCTCTGACATAACCTATTGTCTAGGAAAAGCCCCATGCTTTATGTCTTGGACTAACTGTAGTGTGACCTGTTGGGCTGTGCGCTCTGAATGGTGGTAGAGCAAAGAGAGAGCTGATTACCTGCCTCCTATAGACCCTGGAGGAAGCAATCCAGAAGTGCAGCTACAAAGAGCAGATCATCACAGATCTGTCGGGCCTTTCCGTCTCTGCTGTCCAGGAGCCCTGTGGGTGGCAGGGGCACAGCGCGTTCTTCTACTCTATTTTAAGAGGGGGATCAATCAGTTTATGACAGGCACGTGATGGTTTGCAATAGTTTTGATGACCCAGGAGATCCCGTCCAGTGTCCCTATATGAATCTCATGGGTTAAAGTGAAATTCTTCCTGTAACAGCCAAATGCATCTTGATAGCTACAAGGAGTTTCCCAGGAACACAGCAGGCCAAACAGCCTTTGAGTAAGGTGGGTATTTGGGGATGCTTAGAATAACACCATTTAGACCAACCATGTGCCAAAAGTGTATCAGACCTGTATGAAACCTGCACGTCTCCCCTTTATTATGAGGATTATAACAGGGTGAGGGGAAATGTCCATGATACCAGTTAAAGTGCATCCCCTGGTAAGTGGCATGGCAAATTGCAAACCTCCCTAGGTGGGATTCATTCTTGTGAAGGGCTCCGGGACTTGCTGAAAAGAAAAGCACATCATATGTGTCTTCAACAACATAGGGATATTTGCAAAGGCCAAAGCGTGCTTGCTGTACACAGCCTCAATGGCACACGGTGACTGAGAGGTATCAATGCGCACAGTGGCCTTGTATGTCGTTCTGCCCAGCACATGCCCATGGCAACACAGCAGAGAAGGAGCCCACACGTGTACAAGGGCCCGTGCTCTGGACTGGGGGTCTTAGGTAATGATATGAAAGTTTCTGATCTCTAGTTTGCATTGATCTTGCGTTTAGACACAGAGTCAGAAGAACAGACCCTCCCTTTTCCAGTGCCTTTGGAAAGATCTTTGGAAAGGTCGCAGCTCCGTAGAATGAGTCCTTTCTCCTCCACTCTTAATCTACAACCCAGCTTCTCGGGGAGATCCTACTTTGAGCTAAGATCTTCGTCCCACCAGCTGAGCTTGCATTCTTCTTTACAGTCTCTGAATTCAGCCGGTGAGCCGAGCCCCTCTGGCATTTCCTCTTGATCTGTGCTTTTGGGCATCTCCAAAGCATCTGTTTGTTTTGCTTTGTTTTTTTTCCCCATGACATTCATATGCCAGGGGGGTAAGTCGTTCTGTTTGTCAGTGGCCTGTTTCCGATGTGAAAGGAATTTGGATGATGTAGCTATGTGGTGTATCTCTGTTTCTATGTAACAACGGTACCGGTTTAGATGTCATTTCACCCCCTCTGCCTACTCCGCCAAGGCAAACCCGGGGTCGGGATAACAGCTGTTATAACCAGGGGAAGAGTCATCCTGGGATTTCAGCTGGAGCACTGGTGCATCCTTCTGGGAGAAATCCATGGAGGTGTTTCAAAGGTTTGCATGCTCAGCACATCCAGGAGGTTCAGCCACTGCTATCAGATGGTTTCAGAGCATTTGGATGAAACCGTGACCCAACAGACATTTTAAATATCTATCTATCTATCTAGATATAGATATATATAGTTATATCTATCTATCTACCTATCTATCTATATAGATATAGTTATAGATATCTATCTAGATATATAAATATATATAGTTATATCTATCTAGCTACCTATCTATCTATATAGATAGATATAGTTATAGATATCTATCTATCTATCTAGATATAGATATATATAGTTATATCTATCTAGCTACCAATCTATATAGATATAGTTATAGATATCTATCTATCTATCTAGATATATATATATAGTTATATCTATCTCTCTACCTATCTATCTATATAGATAGATAGATATAGATAGATATAGTTATAGATATCTATCTATCTATAGATAGATAGATATAGATATAGCTAGATCTCTATAGATAGATAGATAGATATATTTAGGACCCCCAAAGCCCAGCTCAGACCGAATAGATCTGGTGGGCAGAGGCCAGAGCCTCCTTTTTTGAGGACACCGTGCTTCTGTAGCTCCCACTGACTTAAATTGGAGTTGGGGGAGCCCAGACTTTGTGAGGAGCAGGACGTGGGATAGTTAATCCTCTTTTTCTTCAGAGCAGTGGAAACTACCTGGAGGAAACTCTCAGCCGCGCTTTGAACGGTCGGTTGCAATCAGGCACCAGGCACCCTGCCGGCCTCCCTGCTTCTGGGCTGAGCGGGCTGTGGCTGAGCGGTAGGTTGCTTCCTTGAGCAAAGCACAGCCAGAGTGAAGGTACTTCGCCCTGCCGCGGGCAGCAGCCGGCAAAGGAGCAGGAGGCAGGGCTGATCTCCCCAGAGCTCTGCGGCAACCGTGGAGAACAATAATTGCGCGTTTCTTCCTGCCAAAGATGCCGGGGCTGATCCTCCCGTCGTGCTGTGTTCACACCACGGCCACTCCATTGGACTCCGCACCGTAATTCACAGCTTACACCAGTGTAAGCAAGGGGAGAACGGGGTCCCCTTAATTTTGATTTCCATCCCATCCCTTGGAATGAGGAATGCTGCAGCATGGTGGTTTCCAACACGCCCAGGGGCTGCCACCCCTACCAGCAATGGGGTTTTTATTTCTTTTTTTCCTTTGTGCTTCCATGTTTCTCATTGTACTGCTGTGCACTGCTGGCTTCTTAACTATGTTTTGTTATTGGACGTTTTGACTCTGTCTCCAGTGTACCGAGACCGACTGTATTGGCTTTGATCAAATACTTTGTTTGTGGACTGCGTATTTCTGTAACAACGGTCTGTGGAGGGGGTGGTGGCGGGGTGCCGGGCTGGGATTTTACGACTGTGTGCTACTAGAGATAAATGTGTTGTGCGGGAAAGCACAGAGACCTCTTTCCAAAGAGGGCGCAGGGCACGATTCATTAAAAAGGCCTTGGCAGACATTGCGTCACTTCGTACAGCTGCAAAGAGCTCAAAGGCGGCAGGCGATGTGCTTGGCCAGGACGGCACTAATGTGTCCAAGAGCCTGATGCAAATGTGATGTAAGAAAATGCTGGTACAGAGCGCACGTCTCCTTTTTCTGCCTACAGGTAGATACAAAACCAGCCGCAGAACCGTGCTGTGCCTCCTAAAACAGACTGGGAACAAGGCTGTCTCGTACTGACTTCTCCTTCCAACCCCAGTTCCTCCCCTTCCCAGCAGGCTTTCTCTGCAATAATAAGAGAAGAGGTGCTAAGTGGGAGGTTGCAATAACTTCTTTACAAGCTGAGACACTTTGCAAATGCTCTGGGTCTGATTTGCAGGTGCAGCGTGCCGCTGGCAGAGATATTGCACAGCTAGCATAAGCGTTTCAGGTCATCCGTTCCAGCGTGACCTTTGACGGCTAATAGTGAATGCAGCGTTTCACATTTCCCTTTCTGCTGCTGTCAGTGAAGGGGTCTTGGCAGACCTAAGGGTCTTGGGTCTTGGCAAGACTTTCCTGGTGAATCCCTACATGATGCTAAGCCCCAGATGCAGTTCCAGCGCTTCAGAGCCGTTTGCAGCTAGAGTAAATTGGAGCAGCCCAAGGATTGCTCTAGTTAGGTCCAGATGGACCAGCCCCAGGGTGAGAGGAATGCAAAATTTAGCATTTACCCCCTCTCCCCCAACCCCTTCCACTCCCATCTGACTTGTGCTGTGAGGTTTTCGCCCAGCGGTGGAACTGCGGCCCATTATTTTTCCACTGGTAGCACCCAAAGCCAATATGCCAGCTGCTGGCCTCCGGAGACCTGGCTTAACCAGGCTTTAAAGTCGAGTCGTTTCAAAGCAAACAGCTGCCATGATCTGACCCCACTCAGCAAGTAATGTGCTCTGGGGAAATAGGGTAATAGCTCAGGATGAGATGTAGCATGGAAACTGTGCAAGGAGGTCTGTATGCAGCCCCATCTCACCATGCTCTGTGAAGCCTATAACCTTTATGAGCATCAAACACCCTCCGTAAATGCTCACAGTAATATCAATTCATGATGCTTGCTTAGCTCTAGTTCAGGGGCCCCTTAGCCCCATTGCTCTTAAGCTACAATGGGAGCTAAAGTACCGTGCTATAGCTACGTAAACCCCACCAACGAAGACATGAAAAGTCCCAAAGCATTAGGACAGCCTTAATCCACGCATTCCTTTTTTATAGGGATGTAAGAGGGATTTTTTTTGCACAGAAGAATGAGATCTAGGTTCCATTTTGCTGGAGAAAACTCTCTTGAAATCAAAATCTACCCTTCTCACATTGATGTCTGTCCCTAGGGAGTGGTGGGAAGTATTTTGAAGCAGTGCAGATGAAAAGATTTTACTGAATGGCAAAATTGCTTGCTTTGCACTGCTCAAGGACCACGTTCCCTTTTCTGGTGCAGAGGACAAAAGACAAGGACCCAGGGGCAATAGAAGCTGGGATGTTCCAAAGTGTCCAATAACTTGGGATAGGAGTTTGGACGCCAGCCGTGATCTATCTGAAAGGTGCCCATTTGTGGTTATGGGCTGAGGCTTCCTGAAAGTCAGGCCTTTGCAAGAGTCTTTAGCTAGGCACTTAAAATGGGCAGTCATTTTGAAAACTTTTGGTCTTTGGCTTTTAATGAATCAGGCCTGCTGTGGTAAAGCAAATGAGTAATTCTGTACATGTGTGTGCACTTGTTTTCATGAGACCAGTTGCTGTTTCTTAGCTTTGATGTGTGAAATATAGTATCTCTTTATAGGATGCAATTTTGAGACACAGTCAGCGCCTTACTCTCAATTAGGCAAGTATCTTTATTACAATTAAGTAGCTCTCGCTTTGTTGGTCATCCATCCATGTTTTGTGTTAATTTTTAACCTTGTTTTGACACAGTGAGCAGACAGTTGTTTATCCACGAGTGTTTCCAACTTTTTCCAACCCGTTTGCATTAGTTTCTCAAATGCCATTCCTGAATGCGATGAGGAATGATCATTTCTATTTGGGAGAAAAGGAATAAGTTCTTCCCTTTTGGGGTTTTAAAGGGAAACCTGAAGTGGTCCTTTAATCAAATTCAGAGCTGAGCCTTATAGCAATAAAAGAAAAGACTCCAGGTCACTGAGGCATAAGAGCATGTACAAGACTTTAAGTGCGTGATTAGCAGCTACCTTTACCTTTGAAGGTCACTGGATTACTTGTGCACTTAAAATGAGACCTGTAATTTCCTGAAATCAGGACTCCAGGCCTGCTTAGCCGAGGTGCTGAAGACCTTTTGATTGCTAGGGGAGAAATGAGGGGTCAAGAGCATGTAAAATCAGACCCCCTGATTCCTTTGGGAAAAAAGCAAATGACTTTCCAATCACCCAGCAATGCAACCAGCACGGGTTTGCTGTGGGTAGGTCTTGCCTGACCAATCTCTTCCTCTATGACCAGGTGACCTATCACCTGGACAAGGGAGAAGAGATTGACATCATATATCTGGACTTCAAAAAAGCCTTCGATCTGGTGTCCCACGATCTCCTCATGGAAAAATTGGCCAATGCAGCCTCGGCTACGTCACGGTCCGCTGGCTGGGGAATTGGCTCCAAGGTCAGACCCAGAGAGCGGTAGTCGACAGATGTGAATCATCCTGGCGCTCCGTGACCAGTGGGGTCCCCCCAGGCTCCGTCCTTGGACCTGTTCTCTTCAACAACTTTATTAACGATGTGGACACCAGTGTTAGAAGCAGACTGGCCAAGTTTGCCGATGACACCAAACTTTGGGGTAGTGTCCACACCCAAGGACAGGCTGGTAATCCAGGCTGACCTGGATAGGCTTAGAAAGTGGGCAGATCTAAACCTGATAACCTTCAATATGGAAAAATGCAAGGTACTCCACCTTGGGGGAAAAAAACCCGCATCATGCTTATAGGCTCAGCAGTGCTACGCTCACTAGCACCACAGCCGAAAGGGACTTGGGGGTCATGATTGACCACAAGATGAATATGAGCCTCCACTGGTGGTAAAGCAAACAAAACTCTGGCTTGCCTCCATAGATGCTTCTCAAGCAAATCCCAGGATGTCATCCTCCTGCTGTGTTCGGCCTTGGTGAGGCCACAGCTGGAGTACTGCGTCCAGTTCTGGGCTCCACAATTTAAAAAGGATGTGGAGAAGCCTGAGAGAGTGCAGAGGAGAGCCACGCGCATGATCAGAGGGCAAGAGAGCAGGCCTCATGATGAGAGGCCGCGAGCCCTGGGACTCTTCAGCCTGGAGAAGCACAGGCTCAGGGGGGACCTGGTGGCTGCCTATAAGTACATCAGCGGTGTGCATCAGGATCTGGGGGAACATCTGTTCACCAGAGCACCCCAAGGGACAACTAGGTCCAATGGTCACCAACTCCTCCATGACCGTTTCAGGCTGGACATAAGGAAAAACTTCTTTACTGTCCGAGCCCCCAAGGCCTGGAATAGACTACTGCCAGAGGTGGTGCAAGCACCTACTCTATACACTTTTAAGAAACACTTGGATGCTTATCTTGTTGGGATCATTTGACCCCAGCTGACTTCCTGCCCCTTGGGCAGGGGGCTGACTCGATGATCTTCCGAGGTCCCTTCCAGCCCTGATGTCTGTGAAATCTATGAAACTTAGGTTCACCAAACCATTCACACACCATGCAATGTAATGTGCACTTCATTTACAGTGCAGGTTCATCTTGAGTCTGTGTCTGCAGCGAATGGAAAAGTTTATGAGCAGAAAAGTATTTCTGAATGCCTTGTTTTAATAAATGCCAATCTTTCTTCCTGTTTTTCTTCCTGCACGCCTTTCCTTTGGAATGACAACAGTTGACATTAAAAAACTGGTGGCAGGTATGGAACCGCTTACATTGAGTTATAAACCCAGGGAGCCTGAGTGCATGTGAACTGGCCTGTGAAACCATTCAATAAATCAGTGTGGAAATCTCACGCGAGTCATTTGTTTTCAAGCAGTGTTTGCCATTGCAGGTGCAAGAATCTGTTGTGGATGTGTCAGCTAGTTCACATTTCCACCACATTAAGTGCACAAAAGACCACTGGAAAACAATCGCCTGTGAACCCTGGATAGTGGCTCGTGAAACTCTGTTACTCTGTGTGTACGCTGTCAAGAAAGGGATGTTCTCTCTGTCAGGTTTCCTGTACGCAAGTCACCGTGCATTTAAATCAGCCATCCTGTTGGGTCTTAGAGATGCTCAAGCATTTCCCAGACTTTGCAAAAGCTAGCTTGTGTTTTAAATATTTGTATATATGTATATGTATATGCATATGTATATATGGTTGCTTGCTCTTCAGGGAGGTTTCTGGGTGGTACTTAACACATCTGTAAATGTAAATCTGTTATGTGCTCTTGATTTCTAGAACCACAAGCTCTCAAATGCACACACAGTTTATCTGCTAATCTTTTAAGCCCCCTTCCCACATTGGGCCTGATCTTACAAACTTTTACTCTCATGAATAAACTTTAGTCGTCAGAGTAAGTATGACTTAATATTTTCGTTCTGCTAGAACCAAGAGGCCCAGGCAAAGCCGCGGGCCATTTTGCTAAGAGCCGAAATGGTGAGGGAGCACCTCTGCCCTAAAGAGTCCTCTAAAGAGAGGAGCAAGAGGGGGAGAAGGTACTCAGAAAAGTGATGTGACTTCCTTGAGGACCCACACTAGGTCAAGGGCAGGAGCAGGAGTAGCACCCAGGTCCCCTGAGTCCCAGTTTTGGCCCCACAGCTGCCAGACCATGGCAGTCGCCCCCTCTCACAGGCTAGTTTGCAAGGTCTGGCATTACTCAGTCAGGTCGAGGTGCCGGTGACCCCCATAAGTGTCTCCGTCCCTACACAGATTGCTTTGCTAGCTCCTGCGGCAAGTTCTGCAGAAGCAGCCCCACTTCTCTTTGGACACTTCTCGGTGTCCACTACTGAACATCCTTCCCGCATGGTGGCATGCAATGTTTCTTGTCCGGTCTGCGTGCCTTTGTGGTTGGGTTGAGGTCTTCCCGTCATACTAACCAGCTATCCTTGTGTATTCCAGTAGCTTGGTTCTCCTTCGACCCTTCCTCCGCACACACGGACATCATCTTTTCCAACGACAACTTGACCGTCACCTGTAACAGCTACGACGACAGGGTTGTGCTGGGGAAAACGGGCTTCTCCAAAGGGCTCCATTACTGGGAGCTGTCGATCGATCGTTACGATAACCACCCCGACCCGGCCTTCGGCGTAGCCCGCATCGATGTCCTCAAGGATGTCATGCTGGGAAAGGACGACAAGGCCTGGGCGATGTATGTGGACAACAACCGGAGCTGGTTTATGCACAACAATTCGCACACTAACAGGTAGGCCACTGGGGCCCGGTGTCCTCTAGACTGTCTTTGTCTGAGACTAAGGCCTCGATTTAGTCCTGATGTATGCAACTGCACCACCGTCCATGGCTGCTGTATCCAATTTGCTCTCGAGCCTGACGTGCAGTACTACGTACCCGCTGTATCAGCTAGGAGCGGTTTGGGCATCCAAGACACCATGTCTGCTGCAAGAGCCCTTTGTGTCTGCACTTAGCATTACATGGCTCCCATCTGTTCCTGCTACAGAGAGCCAGGACACTTACTTGACCGCCTGCATGGTGTAATGCGCCCTTCCCAGACCCTCTGAAGAAGGATAACCTACCTACGGTTATTCCTGCCTCATTCAGGTTCCCCTGACCGGCTGCTCAGAGGCTGCTGCATTTGGATCGTCGCACTGCATCCATGGGCCTCTAGGCTTCCTTTCAGTCTAGGTTTCAGCACTACCTCTTTCTTTAACCCATCAGCTTATTCTGTGGATAGAAACGGTCCAGGTAGCAGCCCATCTTAGAAGTGAGACCCAATGGTTTGGCCCCAGGTCTGTGCATGGCTCCCCGGAGGTTTTCCAGCCGATAAAGCGTTCTCTCCACCAAGCCGCCCTCTCCCGGATACTCCAGTTTATAGTTTTACCTTTCCGGGATGCATTGCAGTTGGAGGAAAGACACCCAGACTCTAACAGATATCATTCTGACCCATCGCTCTTTCTTGTGGACAGCAGGAGAGAGAGACAGATCGGGGAAAAACAACAAAATGCCATGGCCCGGCTCAGTTCCCTCGTCACTTTGAGCCTTATTTGGATCCAAAGAGATAGCGGGAGAGAGGCAAACAGCCAGCTACAAGCACACCCGGTCTTTTTTATAACTTCCCAACCCCCTGCCCCTTTTGGCATGTCCTCTCACATAAGCACATCCTCCTTACAGTTGTGTGTATCAGTTCTGGCCATGCACGGACAGTGGAAGAGGTGCTGCTATAGAAGAAAGGCTAATGATGCTGTTCATAGGTTGTATACGTCACAAACATTTGGGGCAGATTCAGTTCTCACCCAACCAATATCTATCCGGCTTCGCTGACTTCTCCTTGGGCGCTTCATGAATGTATTAGTCACTGCTAGAAAGGTGTGGAGCAATCTGGGCTTTTCCCAAGCCCTTCTGCAAAATAAAGGATGATCGTATGGGGAGACTGACCTGGAGGCTGCAAGTGGGAGAGAAACAGTAGAAGAAAACCTGGTCCGACCCTGTCTCTCTCCCTTGCAGGATCTACTCCTGTGACACAGGAGTTTGGGCAAATTGGACCCAGTAAATGGCAGTTTTTATGAGATTTTACCCGCAGACACACACACACATACACAGCTCCCATTGATGTCAAAGGTGAGCAGAATTTGACACATTCATCACTGGACCACAGTATTGTGTGGTTCATTTGTGCAGGCGTAGTGTAGTTCATTTGTGCATGCTCTTTAAAGTGTTTTAACCTGCATAGCCAGGAGTCAGAGGTGCTATTTTGTACCTTCCAGGAAGCCCGTTCCATAAAGGCAAAGACTGGGATGGACGTTAAGCGATATACATCATCTGACTGATTTTATATCCCCTACAGAACGGAGGGGGGAATAACCAAAGGTGCTACAGTGGGAGTGCTTCTTGACCTAACTAGGAGGACCTTGACATTTTCCATCAATGAGGACCAGCAAGGGCCGGTGGCATTTGAGAACTTGGAAGGCCTCTTCTTTCCCGCTGTGAGCCTGAACAGGAACGTGCAGGTATGTGCCCGTGTTAGTGCAGAGGAGTTGATATTACGTTCCAAGCTCCTGGAGAGAGATTGAAATAAGGAAGTGCCTTTCTGGAGCACTTGGCATCTTCTTTTATCTGTCTGTGCCATGGCATGAGACCAGGATTCGCGGTCTCTTTGGTTTGGCAGAGTTCAGCAACTCCATCCTTTAGCATCCCTCAGGACTCTTGCTAGTTATTGCACACCCCCCTTGAGACAGTCTGAGCTACTCCTGTATTTTTGGTCTCTGTTTTCTCCTCATTTTTCCCCTACCCACTAGTGCATCTACTTCAAAGTGATGCTTTGTGTGTGTCATTTGCTTACAGAGGTTTTGACTGAGTTTAGCTGTGATCTGCCACATTTTGCTCCTCTGAACACTGTGCTATTGCAAAAAAGCTCAAGAAGTGCTTCTTAGAAGGGACGAGGAAAGCCAACTTGATCAGATGAAGTCACAAAGCCTCACAAAGTCACAAAGTTCAGGTCCTGTTGAAGTAAAGTCAGTGTTTTATTTCAGGCAATATTATCGAATCATAGAATCAAAGGACCGGAAGGGACCTGCAAGATCATCAAGTCTGATCCCTGCCATGGGCAGGAAGTTACTGGGTTCAGACAAGCTCACCTCCTCCAATTATGGCCATTAACAGCAATCTCCCCAATCGTCCCCATGCGGGAGGGAATCACAATACCCATCACAGGCTTTTACTGAAGCCCGTGTGTCGGTGGAATGACTCCTACAGGCTCCAGTGGCATTAGGATTGGGCCTCTTAATCACAAAAGAGACTTGGGCAAGACCAGCAGGCAGCAATACATGGCTTGGGCAGGTTGTGGATGTAGCCCATACCTCAGCTAGTTTAAATGCAACTCATAGCAATAGCAATGAAGGTGCAGCAACCCAGACTTCGACCACCAAGGGTGCATCTACATGTTCATTAGTGTGCCATAATTATGACTCATTCACTTACAGGTACTAATTTAATGCACCATTATCAGTGCTACTGTGCATTGGCGCAAACAAATGCTTTTTTGTAATGCTTAATGGTCATGGGACTAACCTACTGTGCATTAGTGCATTAGCATGATTTTTTCCAGGTGCGCTAATATGCAGTAGTATTAATCCAATAGGTATTGAGCATCTTGTGTGGACACGCCCAAAGTATGGTCCAGGCAGATTGGTGCACACAGATGCCTGTGCTGCCATGGCTACATTGCCTCTGGTCCCCAGCTAGCTAGGTTAAAGCTGGCTCAGGGATGAATGCTGCCTTCACCCCCCTGCACTGCAGTGTAGACATACCCAGGCACTTGCTGAAGGATGCTCCTGGCAGGTGCCTTTGCTTCCTGTTCCCTACAGGTAAAGCAAATGCAAGGGATGAATATATTCTTTCCAGCTCCCCATTAGTATCATACATGAATAAGACATAACACATCTCTCCATCATCATTTGGGCATCCCCCGTCTCCATGCCACGTCATCTTTCTAAATAGCTGATCCAAATTTAACCTAGTTTTATGGGAACTGGAGTCTCTGATGACCGGTTCCTGGTGCGATTATTAAATGAATCAGCAGCACAGGGACAGCAACAGTATTTGGTTATACTGCACGCTGACAGTATGCTTGGACCTAGAGACCCTTATCTTCATCATCAGGAGTGTCAGGGTAAAAGAGGGTGGGACTTTACCATGCACCAGATGTTTCATGGTAACTTGCCCATGTGCTCATGTAAGTACTGCAACTTACCCCTGCTTCCCTGATAAGCAACCTGCTGCAGCTTCTCTTCCACTTACTGCTGGGTTGAGTGTAAAATGGGCCACTGCTGTGGAGGCGCTGGCACCCACTCAAGCCCTGTCTCCTGTAATGGACAGTTCTGGACACTCTAGAAACACCCAGTAAGGGACCAGCCCTCCCCAAAGGAGCTTGCAGTGTGAACAGACAAGACTATTCCCCCTGTTGGACAGGTAAGAGCTGAGGCATAGAATGAGTTCCCTTGGATCATGCAGAAAACTCATGGCAAAGTTTAGCACTAAACCCAGATGACCTCTGCATCACTTCAGCACCTTATGCAGAAGACAGACCTTCCTACCCAAGAGCTCAGACCACACTAAATTACCCATCACAGGCTCCGGTGTGATGCCAGAGTTTGAAAGCTGAGTCATAAAAGATGTGTTATTTTAAGTGCAACTACCAAGGAACACCTAGGGAAAATATGGTTCTGGTGTGTGTGGTAGGGTTAGAGCTTGGGTGTGTAATGCTATGCAGTAAAAGTACAGAAGCATTGCTGCTTGATAACTAATTCTTATCACTACATCCTTCCCACTGTCCTGAGAGATAGGAGCTCTTATTGCATCCCAGCGCTTCTTGGCAGTTCCAGAGAAGAGAGAAAGTTTAAAATCCCAAACAGAGAAGCCCAGTTTTAATCAAAGTGCTGCGAGTAACCCTACAATAGTCATCATCCTCATTCTTCAAAAATACATCCTTAGAACAGCTCTAATTAGCACTGAAAAGAGTTTAGTCTGGACAGCATCATGGCAAATTTTAATCTAAACATAAAAGTATTTTTTTTTTCCCAAAGCAAGAAATGAGTTGGGTTTTTCTATCCAAAGTGAACATGAGAATTAAATGGTTTAGAAAAGGGCATGAATTTGAGGCACATAAGTGTCTGTGTGCGCAAGAGAGAGAGAGGCTGTTCGCAAAAGCTGGCGGTCTTCATGGGCTGGGGAATACAATTCACCAATTACAAGAGGAAGGATATTTTCTCAAAACAGTAATCCTGCCTCAGTTTGTCAGGGCAGCTGGCTGGCTGATGAAGTCTTCTGTACATGAATCATTTTCCTGAGAAAAGCAAACTCTCCAATTCTCCAATGCCCTTTTCATATCCAAGAGAAAGGGAATCCTCTTCCATAGTCTTGTATTCCTCTCTAGTAGAAAGCATGCCAGCAATTGCTCTGTGGCCTGTTGAAGGAAACATTCAGGCTAGGGACAGACATTCAGAAAGCCTGAGTCTGAATTGATTCGACTTTTGCAGGTTAGTCTAACCTGGCTAGGCTGAACTGGTGGGAAACTGGACAGACATTCTCTCTGGACTGAGGAAATTGAGACACATGCCTGCAGTGCCTCAGGCTAGAAGCTGGGGGGTGCTAGAGCAGCCCTCCCTTCCCTTGCACAGAGTTGAGCTGAAGGGGCATGGCCAGGCCCCAGCAAGACTTTCTCATTAGGGATGCCTGCCTGCACCATCCCAGGCTTTTCCCTGCTGGCTACTCAAGGGGAGGGAGAGCTGTCAGCCCCCAGACTCTAGCTAGCACTCTGAGGCAAGGGGGTGGGGGTGTGCAGTGCGTGCAGCTGTTGATGGTACAGAGCTTTTCAATCTCCCTCCCTGCTTCTCTGACTCTGCAGCAAACTGCCAGGCGAGCAAGGTAGCCAAGAGCTGATAAGAGTCTTTATCACCCAATTAGCAAAACACTAGCTTCTCTCCCATTACTTCAAACTCTTCTTAAACAGCTTACCTGGGTGACCTGTTGATTAGCTCCAAAAGCCTTGTTCTGTCTGCCTGCCTGTCCCAATGGAATTGGAGAGACACACGCACAGACACCGCTCAGCATTAGCTAGCATACCACATGCCTAGGGTCCATGGGGCTGGGGTCTGTGCTGTGGGAAATGGGAGGGAGGGAGGGAAGGGGGGATTTCCTTCCTGAGCAGTGAGGAGGGGGAAGGGCAGGGGGAAGCCAGCAGACCCTGCTGTGTCTCTGCCGGAGCCCTATACAGCACTAGCTAGCATACCACATGCTGGGCAGAGGGGAGGAGGGGATCCTTGCTTAAGCAGCAAGTGGTGAGAGAGGAGGGGGAGGCACAGGGAAGCCAGTAGACCCTGCTGTGTCTGCAAGTCTGTGCTGGAGGAGCTCTGCCCAGGGAGAAGAGGGGAGGGACCTGCCCTGCTGTGAAGCAGAAAGCCCCGCCCAGCCCAGAGAGCATGCTGGGATGCTGGGGGTGTCTGGTTTATCTTAAACTAGCAAGGATCTGGGACAGACATTGCATAAACCAGTTTGAGCCAAATCAGTTAAGTCTAATGCTACATTCAACCAGGTTTATCTCAAACCAGCTTCAGCCATCTTCAGACTGGTTTCTATGCACTGAATATCTGTTCTGTTCCAGGTTTAAACCAGTTTCTGATCACTTAAACCTGTTTATGTCTCTCCCTAGCCTCACAAGCCCAAAGACCCTAGCCCTAAGTTTCCCCTTGATGCTTGTGAAGATCCCTCAGCTGGTGTAGTCTTTGTTTCTGTATCAGAATAAACTGTAGCTCAGAAGGACGTTACATCATACCTTAGGCTATACCCATCCAGACAGCTGCCGCAAGGACCATTCTCCTGGCGCAAGGCTTGGACTGTGCCACCTCTCTCTATGCACCCTTCCCATGGCTGCCCCTTCTCTGTTGCATCAAACAGTGAACTCAGGTGTGGAAATAATTTCCAGCAAAATATAGGATGCACTGTCGAGACACTCAATGCTAGCTTTTGTTTTATGAATCTGAAGGCGATGTACATTTAATTTTAATTATAACAGGAATATAGAAACGACATCTTTTGATTAGTTTTGCTTATTTTGTTGTGTTTTTTATACGTAATATATGATATAGCTGATTAATTCACATTCCAATGAAGGTCTGCACCTCCTTTTCCTCTCAATGGCAGCCAGGATGGAGCAGGCTGATGATGCTCCCTAAGACGGCTGCTCTAATTGTTTGCCCCTGGCATGCAAGCTGTTCTTGGCTCTGCACAGTGACAGGGAGAGGAGCATGAATGAGAGACACTGGAAGGACTGGGCTTCCCTAAGATGCCAGAAGAGCATCATTGGGGCCCATGGTACAAGAGAGAGGAGGCAGAATACACACTCTGGGCCAAGGGCAGGGATGAGAGTGTAAGGAAGTGGATGAGGCATCATCTATGCTCGCTAAGGGCTAGGAGCCTAGCTAAACACTTGATCATCTCCATCACAGCATGGATCTTGCCTTGGTGCCGATTTCATTGGGCCTTTCAAAGGAGTGGCCTTAAAGATGGGAGGCTTCTGAAACAGCCCACACTGAGAACAGTGCAAGGTTATGCCCACCTCCGCTCCCACCTGCAAACTGTGGCGGAGGAGAATAGCAGCACGGTGGGCATGTGAGGAGCTGCTTAGTCGCTGGCTGTGGGCACTCTCTCTATCCCTAGCATGCAGAAGCTTTTAACCAGCATTTTTAAGGAAAGAACATTTTCCTTTATTCTGCTTTCCAAAAACAAAATGTCTCTCTTATTTGGGCAGGTGTCATACGTGAAAAAATAGGGTATTTCAACTTTAAGGCCATGTGCAGATGAAACGAGGGGCACGTGTGCACAACACCTTAAAGCAGGTTAAATGCTTTTGCACTGCTTTAATGGTGTTGGTGGTTGCACGTGTCAACAGCGTATTGCGCAGTAATTCCAGCCGCTGTAGCATATTTGGCAGTGTGTTGCAGCTCAAATGACTTGGTTCACAGCAAACTAAAACTCCTCCGAGGAGTTTAATTTGCTGCCCTACAGCCATGGAACAAAGCACCGGGCTCCGTGCAGCTCAAGGGCTCTGCAGAAAGCCCCGCAGGCAGCCTGGCAGCAGCCCGGGAAGGCAGGCTCTGCCTAAGACAAAAAAAAGCGGTGATCTTTTTTTTTTTCCCCCTGGAGTCTGCCTGCCTGCCTGAGCTGTGCAGGAGCCCGGTGCTTTCCTCCGCGGCTGCAGTGCCCCCTGGGACCTCCCAAGCTGGGTGCCTGCAGGCAGGTGCCACCCTGGGTGGGGGTGGCGCCGCTGCTGTGGAGGGAAGCACCAGCCCCCACCCCGCAGCCCAGGGACCACTCCACCCGCTGCCAGCTCGCCCTCCCCTCCCCACCACTGGAGAGGCAGGTAAGTGGGTATGTGCATGACACGGGAGGTTAAAGGGTCCTAAATTGAAGCTGTGTTTTTAAAAACCCACTGCTTCAATTTAGGGCCCCCGTTTCGTCTACGCGTGCCCTATCATCAAAACCTGGATTGCACCCCACCCATGGAAAGTGCTAGCTGGCTCGATGGTAACAGGGCTCTCCTTACAGGTGACACTTCACACTGGCTTGCCAGTCCCCGAATTCTACACTTCTAGGTCATCCATGCAGTAACAAAACTAATGAAGCCAGCTGCCTTTTCTCAGCATGAGTGAAGAGAGCCGATTTACTTCTCTGGGAAGACACCTCATAGGTCAGCTGGTGATCGGAGACCAGGGGAAACCAAAGGGGCAGGAGAGAGGAGAGAAGAGAAGAAACTGGCTTTCTGCAGTCTTTTGTACACCACAACCATGCAGCAAACCCTCTCCACATCTCCAGCACCGTACTGTGCGTGTTTGCTTTGCTGTTTAGCTTTTGGGGCTGATAAAGTATCTAGGTAGCCTGAGCTATTACTCTGTGCCGGCTTTTAGGTTTGAGTTTATTTATTTTATTATATTTATTTTGTTTTACGCCAGCTTTTAATTTCCTCGTAGCATTGCGGCTGCTATCAGCCAGCCTCGCCGCTGCCATTGCAAGTGAAACCACGACGATAACTTTCGGCGGAGTTACACATCAGGCAAAAGATGCTGTATAAAAAACAAAAATACCTGGGGAGGGACTCTTGGGGAGGGGAGGGAGGGCTAAAATGGAAAGCTGTTGCTGAAACCATGCAAATTACCTCCAACCACGTTTCTTTCCCTGTGGCCTTTCTTAAGGAGTGCCCTCAATCATCTTTGTAGACATTGGTCTTGGATTACCAGTTAGTCTATACAGAGCCAGGTGGAACGAACGCACCAAGTACGGGGAGCCAGTCCGAGCAATTCAAGTAGGACCAAATCCGTCCCTTACACATGCTCCTGGCTCGTATTGACATCAAAGGGAGCCACCCGCGTGTGGCCACGAGTAGGATTTAGCCCCAAAATACTGCTTTGAAAATGCCGAGGAATTTGTCAGAGCTTTGTCAGACCACTGTAATTAAGATGGACAAGGAGCCAGAGAAGATAATTGCATTTGTGATGTGGCGATCACTTGATTTAAGCAGAATAATTGGCTGGTAACTGAATGACTCTGGCTCTATAATTTGTCATCTCCAAAGACTTTTCTGTTTAGCTCAGTAGGTGGACAGGGGAATCAGCCACGCTCCTGTCTTCACGCACTCCAAGATAGCACAGACTTGCAAGAAGACTTGAAACTAGCACTCGCACCCAATCAGTGACTTTAACCGCTCTCTCCATAATGGTGCCAGCTGACGTGGTGCAGCCATATGTCACAGGGCCCGTATTCGGCCCTTTTGATATTAGCATTTATTTTTTTATAGCGATAGTGAAAATTCTAGCCTTAAAAAAAACAACCCCACCTGATAGTGTCCTTTCTTTCATAGAGAGAATTCATTATGTTATAAGGTTATCACGACTTGGAGACCAGGGAGAACCAGTAGAAAAAAAGGAAAGATGAGATTTGGAAACACAGTCCATGGCATTCACATTCTCAGGAATACATGCTTGTTGCCATGCCTGCCTGTGCCTACTATCCAGAAGAGTACATTCTGCTTCCACGCATACAACTTTTAACTTTCTGGTAATTCAGACAAATGCCACATACAAAAATGACGGGTTCTTATCACTGTGTTTAATGCCAGAACGTTAATTTTTACTGTTTCTGTAATAAAGAGACTGCATGCCGCATGTTATCGCGCTTTCCTTTCTGTCCTTTAATGACACTCTAGATTAGCTTAAGGGGCTGGAGAAAGTTTCAGTTGTTGTTGCCCAACCATTTGCCAATGTGCCAAGCAATTAAGTTCACTGAAAAGCTGTAGTTAATTGAACCAGGGTTAGGGTGGTGGGGGGTGGGAAAGCTAATGGCATAATGTCCCAGCAGAAAGACATTTCTGTAAATAGATAATCATTTACTTTAGTGCTCACTCTATTTAGAATGTTCTTATTGGTTATATTGCTGTTCTAGTATTAAGTTTACCTAATTTATTGAATGGGTGCTATCTTGGTCATTTAAACCTATTAGTTTATCTCAGCTACAGAAGAGCTGTGTTGCAGGACAGCACTGATCTTTAATTTCTTATGAGACTTGGTGGCTGGGCCACTCCGGACTCATTTTTCATAGTCGTTATTCCCAGTTCTCTATGATGTTCATGATGCTTATTAGATTTCTAGTGAATTGTAATATGTAGTTTTCACTGTACTGCGATTATAGCTGCATACAGCTGCTGTACGAAAGAAAAGTGTCATGGTTGCTGTTCTAATAAATGACTTTTATGAGAGAACGCTGCACATTGCCAGGGCGTCTTGGGTCTCCACATATGGTTACCATTTTCCTTACTGCAGGATTGGAAGTGCTCCCTGGATTTGGAGCAGGGAATACCTAATGACCACCTACCCAGGCCCCAGGCTATCAGAGATCCTGCATGCCAGTGATGCTAACATAGGGGCTGGGGTATCTGTGAAGGGCTATACTTGCTATTGGATTTGAGGACTTAGGAGGATTCCTCTATGATGAGAAACAGGAAGAAAAAGAAACCGGACCGGATGTACGCACTCCCTGGGCGTGTCCACACATGCAGGCACGTGCACTTGCAGCAGCTCAAACAGCAGCGGCACAAATTTGTGCTGGAGATTTATGCACCAGCACACGTGCCTGAACATGCACTTTTGGTGTGGGGCAAATTGTGCCACTTGGGGCAAACTGACCCTGCCCATCTCCCCGTGGATCTTCAGCCACGGGAAGCTAGAGGCTGGGGCCAGCACCTGGGCTGGCCCCAGCAGTCTAAAACCCTGCCCTGTACTGGCCGCAGCAGTATAAAAAACTGCCCTGGCGAGGAGCGCAGGGCTACTTGCTCCCAAGAGCTTCTGAGGCCCAGCCAATTGGTATCTGGGGACACTAGCCCCCTGTGCCAGCTGGACTGCTGAAGCAGCCCAACCTGGGAATAGCCCCTGCCCCCTCTACCCACCGCAGCAGTCTGGCAGAAGGGGCTTCTGCCTGGCTGTGACCTGCTGCCACCTGCAACAGCATCCACCCCCTTGAGCCTGCAGCCCCATGCATGCCTGCCAGACCCAAAAAGGAACAGCATGGCCACCTAGGCTGTGGTATGGGCATCGCAGCACAGCCACCTGCACCTCTGGCCAGCTGCCAGTGGACTGTGGCTGCACAGTTGGACTTCGTGTGGCACTGCTGTCATGTCTTCTGGTGGCCCCGCTCTGCCATCTGGGCAGCTATCACCCAGAAGATGTGCTTGTTGTGGTGGCCCACTTTGAACAGTGGAAGTGTGTTCTCCTGGTCCAAAATGGCCAGAAGGTCAGCCAACTCATCTGCCTTCCAACTGGGTACCTGGTGCTGGCCCTGGGCAGGCTTCTCTGCCCAAGTCCCACCCCTTGCCTCACCAGCAGGGATCCTGGTATTCCCTGTTAAAAAACTGAAAATCCTCTGATAAAAAACCCAAATTCTCTCATTAAAATACCCAAAATCTGCGGTCATCCATGATTAAAATGAAATGCCATTGTATATAGAGAGATCAGTTAGGCAATGTTGCATGGATAGATTTACAATTTTAAAGCAATTTGGAAGCCTACCAGTGCCTCTATCATCATAATAAAATGAACTTTATACACACTCACACACATACACACACACACACACACAATTTGGCATTTGCTTTTGTTTTTTTTATCAAAGAAAAATCAGAGCTGCCCCTGCCCCTTCACTCACCAGGATGTGGGATGCTGAGCAGCATTGACATGCTGATGCCCTGCCCATGACCTTGCCCCTCACTCCCAACCCACAGCCCCGCCAGTGTCCCTCAGTCCTGACCCGCAGCCCCTGCCTACCCCCACTAGCTCCCTCCTGACAGCAGCTCCATCCCAGCACCAAGATATGAGTGTCACAGCCACCAACGGAGGGTTCAGGATTGATGTGTGGTTGGGGAGTAGAAAGGTAAGAAAGGTTTATTGACTTAACAAAAACACAACTACACATAAATAATACGACAGACAATAATAATTCGCATCGGCAACTTATCGGCAGTCCCCTCTGATGCCTGATGTACAACAAGTCTCTCTTTTGCAAAGCTCAGCGAAGTCAGGCGTCCCTGATCAGCACTGTCCAAGGGGTACCAGGAAGGACTCTGGTATTCAGTCCTTGGGCTCCTCAAGATCAACAAGCCCACTGATCCAGGTCAGCAGCTAATTCATAGTTCCTTTTACAGAGCTGTATCTTCCTTCTAAATGATTTCTGGGTGTGCCAGCCAACTTGGAGCTATGCTGATAACGTATAGCCATTCAGATTCTCCCATTATAATTATTCTTAGAACTGACCAATAGCAATACAAGCCTTGCATTCTTCTGATAAGGTTAATTTTAACTATGCCACAAAGCTTACCACTACAACTACAAGGTCTTGCTAAATTTACTAGGCCTCATTACTACATACAAGGCCTCACTACATCTTTGACTTTAATTAGGCTCTTAACAACAACATATAGCTTAATATCTGAACAAATGACAGCAAACACTTGCTCTAATCTTCACACCATTTGGCAAGCACCTTAGACACAATTTTCAGCTGTCACAATGAGTCCAGCTGCAGCTGTCCTACCCGCTGCTTTGTGACTGAGCAGTGCCAGCCCTTACTGGTCCGCTCCCTGCACTTGTGCCAAAGGCCCCAGTAATCCCCATGCTGTTCCTGGGAAGCCCTTGACTGAGGCTCAGGGACTGGGCTGGGGAAGCCCCTTCCCTTCCAGGCTGGCCTCCCCCTGCACAGGGGGGGGCAGGGAGGCTCTCCTACCCTGAGCACTCCCCCACCTCCATTCCCTCTCTCTCTCTCTCTCTCACACACACACCTGCTGCCACCTCCACCCCTCCCCCCAGCCCATCACACCCCCCAAGTGTGGGACCAGGAGCCCCCCAGAATGGGGCCACATGTCCCAGCACTAGTGTGGACACGGGGCAGGACTTCAGTGCAGCAGTTGCCCCTGCAGCCATGGCTCCCACCAGCAGGTCCTGTCCCATCTGGTGGCTGGGCATGCAAGGTGTGAGATTTGTGGGGGGGAGATGTGGAGTTTGGGGGCCAAGGGTATGGGGGGTAGATGGGTTTGTGGGTGGGTATAGAGTTTGTGGGGTGAGGTTTAT